AGAAATTCGGGCTATTCCGGCCGAAATGCTCGAAAAAGTTGCCCAAAATTGGACTTTCCGAATGGACCACCTAAGACGCAGCCGCGGTCAACATTTAAATGAAATTATCTTCAAAAAGTAAATGTCATGGACCAAACTAACGTTTCAAATAAAGAACCGATGAGATTTTGCAAATTTTATGCGTTTTTTTTAAAAAAAAAGGTATCAAGCTCTTAAAAAATCACCCGTTATATGTAACTATGTATGTATGGTCTTTTAAATGTTGGTACTTTTTCAGCTTAGTACACTTTTTTTGGCCATTTGGTACAAAATTAAAAAACTCATTTATCATCCCTGTCACAGATCAACCACAAATAGTGCTTAGTTGTCTCTTCGGCATAACGGAAGAGGTGCGTCGAGTAGTTGTCGCAAAAAATCGTATGCAATAACTGTACGGATATTTGCGAGATCTCTGCTACGCGTAATGTCTCTAATGAAATTAAAAAAAAAAATCATGAATTTAATATGAAATAGTCAGTACGTTCTAGAGTAACTATTTCACGCACCTATTTTTCGTCCGTTACACTGCCATTGTCGCATCAGCTGGAAGAGTAGCATCACCACGCTCAAACATAGCTTCGTATAGCACTCACATCGGGCGCGCCCTTTAATGCTGCTATGTTTTGTGGGCTGTGCGCTAGAATTCGCTGTTGCGGCCAAGTCGTTTGCTATTGTTGCACTGTCAACGCTCTCTGTTAGCACGCGCGCTTGCTGCTTATTGGTCTGCTCCTCTGTTGTATCCATACGCTGTTCGTTCTCTGTGTCATCTTCGGCATCATCGTCATCATCAACATCAGAGGGCAACAGCTTGTATATGAAATCTGGCGGCTTCATGAAGCAGTGGTGTGCAAAACGCACATGATTTTCACAAATAACAGCCAGTAGCCGCAGATGCGCTTCAAGCTCGGAACACTTTGACGACAGCAAGCGACAAGCAGCATCTGTCAAATTTTAAATACACACGTTCTTACGGGCACAATTATTTTGACGACAGCACGACATCTTGGCTGCAGGACTGCAATTGTCGACGTCGCCAAATTAAATCTATTTCTAATTTTGCCGGCGACAATGAGTAGATGTAGTGCTGCAAAATTAAATTGTCGCAAAATTAATCACATATTCTTGATTGTTCATGTTTTTCTTATTTACTTAAATAAAAATACACAATTTGTGAAATAAATATACCAAAATGTCAAACTTTAAAATCGGCTGTTTGCTATGTCGCTGAGGTCTTCAAAATGTTTAAGAAGCTGGCTTCAAGGCGACATTTGTCGACAAAATGATGTCGCTGTCGTTACGTCGTGAAGTTGCAGTCGTCAAAGTGTTCCGAGCTTCACTTAAGACACCGTTCAGTGGAAATGCTATTTCTAATAGCCCCGCATATACTTGCAGAATGCATGAATCATTTGAGAAGCGATAGAGTGAACGCATGCGATCGCTATAGAATGTGCTTTCATCGCCGTTTACGCAGAGCAGTGCTAAGGCTGCTGGCAATCGCGTCAACTCCAGCACCGAATAGGATATCTCCTGAAAAATCCACGCACTCGGACGCACAAAAATTAGCTATTTCAGCAATCCGCCTACTAGCACCTCGAAGTGATCCTCATATCTGCGCGCATCTGACGAAATAGCAAGCGCAAGAGCGTGCAAATGCTTCCAGCGCTCCGAAATGCGCACAGATCTCACTGGAATAACCCAATTTGGAAATGGCATGGCATGCGACCGCCAGCAGTGCGTAATCGCCATGTTCTTGCTTGAGCAGTTGTTGTGCGAAATTTGGAGCCTGCGCGCACATTACACTCAAAGCAGCCACATAGCGCCGCAAACTAACCGCGCGTTCATCTGCATGAAATTCTTGCGCTACATGTAAATTGCGCGCACTGAACGTTTGGTCGTCCTTACGCAGATCTTAATCATGATAGGGATGTATGTTACAGTGCTTGGGGAACTCAAGTCCATGCACGTAAGTCCAAAATTCGGGCAACGCATTGCAAGCAGATGCAATAGCGCGTTCATTGAAATCCATTGCTTCGGCGGTAGTCCATGACCGTTTTTGCTGCTGCAATTGTAATTGCGCCAGCAGCGTTTGTGCATTAGCCAATTCCTGCTGAAACGGCGTCTGTTGACGTTTTGTG